CCGCCCGCCCCGCCCGCACCTTCTCTCTCACACTCTGACCTTGGCCCGCACTTAACGTCTCGGTGTGATCGTGATGCCCTCACCAAGATCACCCATACCCTCACTATTTTACAATGTGAGCGTGCTGAGCAAGCTTCCGCCGAGTTTCTTCCGTCTCCCGCACCGCCGCTAGTACAACATGGTATATCCCGACTTCATGTCGCGGTCGAGGTCAAGATTGTTGACCGTCAAGACCAACTTAAGGTGATTTTTCATTCCCCCCTTGTCCCCCCCATGATGTGAAACTTATGGTCAATCAACGCACACGCACACGTTTTACATATCTCTATTTCATTACATTATTCCCCGCTAAACTGAATGAACCCGCTCGCCCTCGCCGGGATGTAGAGCAGCGTCTGTGGTCCGGCCGGCGGCGTCCTTGGCTGCCACGCCGTGAGCGTTCCCGTGCCGCACCCAGAGGCCGCACTGTACGACCGCGCGCACGGCCCACGTGACCGTCACCGTCTCTGCTATTTCGCTATTTTCGGCCTGTCGATGCCCCCTTCCCTTCTCCCCCGTGGACACGATGGGTTGCCTACCCGACGGGCGCAGCGCCTCAGCCTCCCAGCGCCATGCCCCCCTTTCTCCTGACCTATGCCACCAACTCACCCGTACTTTATGTTCTCCAGGGCATGGCCTTCTCCCTGGCCGAGCGACAGGCACTGGGCATCCACGGCCTGCTGCCGCCGCGCTTCAAGACCCAGGAGGAGCAGCTCCAGCTCTGCAAGATCAACATCGACCGCTACACCGACCCCCTCAACAAGTACATCTACCTGATGGGACTGCAGGTGAGTCGATTCGTCCGAGCGGCCGGAACGTGATGCGGAGGACATGACAGCCACGACGCCCACCTCGGGTGGTGCGAGTATTCTCTTTTCTTTTGGTCCAAAATAAAATTGCTTTGACAGGGTATGGTTGTTGTAAGCCGCACTTTTGTCTGGTAGCGCTGAACCGCTAGTATATACCACCAGTATATAACAAAAAAAAGCGCCGTCTTAGAACAACACCCACTCTGTAGCAAAGAAGTCCTGCTGCAAGTTCTTTTTTTGCTTTAAAAAAATGAACCCTGAATTGATTTATGTTTTTCTGTCGTGCAAACTTTGTACTCCGGGCTCAAAGTCGAGCAGACGGCTGGTTGACTTACGACTTTCAACGTCGGGCGGCGGGGGCGGGCCGCCTGTACCGCCCCACCTCCG